CGTTTTGCTGGGGTCGTTTGAGAGAAACCATGATATGCTTCCATTTGAAATTGATTAGCAAAAAGAAAGAAATTGTCCATGCCAAGTTGTTGGAAGGCAAGCTGTTGGTAGGCTGGGAAGAATGGGCATTGGTAACATAGACCAAATTGAGATATTGGAACGGGTGGCTCAACATGTTTCCTCTTTTCCTTACGTTTCCTTGGAGATCAAGGAGGAGTTTCGATTCAGATGGCTCGGTGTCAAAAGCCTGCCCTGCAATCGGGCTCGAATGGGCAGTGGCCGGACTGGATAGAAACTCAGTCCCCATGTGGCCAGTGGATGGAAACAAGCTACCAGCCATGACCCCATTGGAACCATCGTTTTGTGATTGCAATAGCGATCGCAAAAAACTCGTCATCAAGTGATTTTGTCATCAAGCGGGGTCGTTGTGAAGCAGGGCACCACTGTAAGTTAAATAAGCAGGGGAACAATATACAGCCTTGTTGTACTCCTTTCCCAATTTTGAACCAATCAGTTGTTCCATATCCAGTTCTAACTGTGGCTTCCTATCCCACATACTGTATAGATTTATCTGGAGATAGATAAGGTAGGCACTCCCATTTCTTGAAGAACCTGCCATAGTTTGCTGTGGTCCACATAGTCAAAGGCTTTTGCATAGTCAATGAAGCAGAAGCAGATGTTTTTCTGGAACTCTCTGGCTTTCTCCATAATCGAGTGCATGTTAGCGATTTGCTCTCTAGTTTCTCTGCCCCTTCGAAATCCAGCTTGTACTTCTAGGAATTCTCGGTCCACATACTGCTGAAGCCTACCTTGTAGGATTTTGAGCATAACCTTGCTAGTGTGTGAAATGAGTGCAATTGTATGGTAGCTGGAGCATTCTTTGGCACTGCCCTTCTTTGGGATTGGGATGTAGACTGAATCTGTATTGTAGAGGGGAAATATTCTTCCTCCCTTTTCTACAAAATTCTGAAAATGCTCTTGCAGATTTGGATGAAGGGAGGAAACATTTTTGCAAAGCTAATGAGGTCTCTGCAAGAACATACAGTATGTATGTCACTACGTCTAAAATCGTATGTAACAGCTGAATATTGGATACCAGGATTTTTGCATCTCTGCCTTTTGCTGAACTATATTTTGACTGACTTGAAATGTCTGTTAATGTTTTGCTTTTTATTACAACTGCTACACAATTTGCAAGGTAGTGGTTGTGCATACTGCATGCACAGTTGGTAATGTGGAATGCTGTAACCGCAGGAATGTGGTATCAGCAGGTGATCGGTTCCAAGCCCCCCACCCCATGGATGCTGAAAAGTGTGGGTATAGAAACACTATATATAATGTAATCTCTGGTTCTCTTTAGTGGTCAGCTCTGGCAATACACTTTGGAAATGCATATTTCTGATTTTTTTTCATGTAATATTTTCAGGCCGCAGATAAGTGAAACCACAGGTACTGATCCTGTAGATTCCACGGTCCTACTGTATTCTCTGCTGACCCATATAGCTTGATAAATGAAGCTGAACACTATGTAGAAGCAAAATCTGGTATGTTACAGGTTGCTTTTGTTCTGGAACTCCATACAAGGTGATACATTAATTTCTAATTCTGAAATGTTAAGGGCCACAACGTCCCAATTCCTATGTCATCTTTACCAAATGTTAGGAAAAGAAGATATGATTCCAACAGAGTAATAACACTTGAGAACAGGTCAGTTTTGCCATGTGTTTAAGCAAATACAAAGCACTGACCAGTGTGGTTTCTACTATGCACATAAGTCAAAAGACATGTGCATGCAACAACACTCATTCAGACATATAATTTCCTCTGCAGATTCAATAAAATGTACTTTTAAGGCTTTTCCTTGAATAATTATAAAGTGTTCATCATATGATCATTTAGCAAGAATAAAAAGACATCAGTGATGCCTTAACATTAGTCTTAAAAGTAAATCCCTAAAATTCACTAGACTATGAAAAATTCTATCCTGCCCACTCATATATGCTTTTCAGTCATTTGGTGCATAGTGCATTCCCTGAAAGGGAAGGCGGGGGAAGGAAAGTTAGCTATCCTCTAACTTTGTTGTCTGAAGGCAATTTTTACCTTTCAAAAGCAATCAAGTGGTAAATGCATAAGTCACCATTACCTTAACAAATGCGGATATAATTGTACGTCTTTGCATCATGTCCTCCGTTTACATTTGTACTCAATTTCCTATTTGGTTTTTAAAAGGTAAACCCAGGATATACCTAACTCATAGACACTTTTTCCTTTTCAACTGCCAGGGCACTGAACCTCTCCTAAAAGCAAGAGTCCTCTTAGAATATACCACAATTACCCTTATTTACATTTGATGGAATATCAAAACTTAAGAACCCAGACCACTATGTTAGCATATTCACATATATTTAAAAGCTTTTAAAGAATATACACATCATCCATATATCATACCAAAAGTTAACACAATACAAACTTTGTTTCAGTAAGGTTGTTCTTTTCCCCTCCCAAAGTCACACAAATTGTAGTTGTGTTTCAGACCATGTTCTACTTGCTTTAATTTTTACCACTTGGTAAAGCAGAGGAGAAGCTTCATTCTAGTCATCACTGTCACTTCCAGATTCGCTCAACTGCAAGTCATTTCCTGTTTTTTAAAAGAAAAAGAAAGTTGTTATTTTCTGACTGGGTTGCACACTGAACATTTTCGGAATTTGTCCTCAAGCAAATTGGAAAGAAAAAATAAGGAACAATTTTAGAACATACTATTCTATTTTAATAGTCTTGTTTCTATTCGTATCTAGGCCTACAGCTCTGTGCTCAGTAATCACTGAATTAAGATTCACTAGAAGCTGTGATCAGTTTCTCTCTGAAAATACAGTGGTGCCTCGCTTGACAAGGATAATTCGTTCCATTCAAATTGCTGTTAAGCGAAATCCTCGTCAAGCAATATTAAAAAACCCATTGAAATGCCTTGAAAACCGGTTCAATGTTCCAATGGGCAAAATACCTGCTTGTTTTGCGAAGATCCTCCATAGGGCGGCCATTTTCCGGTGCCTGTAAAGCGAGGAATCCGTCCTAAAGTACAGCGGGGAGCCATTTTGCACAGCGGGTGGCCATTTTAGAGCCGTCGATCAGCTGTTCTGAAATGTTCTAGCGAAAAATCGGTTCCTGAAGCAGGGAACTGATCATCGTTAAGCAAATTTTCCCCATAGGAACATCATTTTGCGATCGCAATACTGATCCCAAAAACTTCATCGTAAAGCGGTTTCGTCGTTTAACGAGGTAATCATTAAGCGAGGCACCACTGTAGATACTTCACTGGCTTTAAGGTAAAATAGTGCCCTGGGCAAGGAGGGCCTTCGACACCATGACTTATACCATCCTTCCTTGTTTAATTATTTCCAGTGCTTACACTGTTCATAATATTTGCAGTTATTATAGAGCTTGGTAACTTTCTGACCTGAGGTGACCGTCAATCAGTCCAGCAGTAACCAGTTGTTCCTTCCTTGCCTCTGATTTTGAAGAGAGTCATGCCTTTCTACTTAAGATTGTCTTTCTCCCTCTCTTTTTGGTCTCCTGGCAGTTAATACATTGATCCAGTTAGAGTGATGTTAGATGCATTCTGGGAATTTGCTGGAAGTAGTGAGAGTAGTATGCTGAGGCCCACTGCTCTAATCAGTAATGTTTGTACATTATGCTGTTTTTGATCTGTTCAGAACTGTGAGTAAATTAAACCTTTTTTATTCTTTCTCTTACCAACATCTCAGAGTGAATTACTGAGACTATAAGTGCCAGATGATACTTGAAGCTAATTCTGCTCTGTAAGTCCCTGCACTTCTGTTGAATAGCTAGAGATTTTTAGTCAAAATTCAAAATTCTGCAACATAATATGATTCACTATCATGTACAAAAAGAGACCACGATATCTGGGTTAACTGTGGTTATGAAACATAATTCCCTTTTAAATAAAGAAGTAGCAGATATTGGAAAACAGATGACAGGGGGGATTTGTATTTCTGCCTCCCAAATCCTACCTACAAAGCCAAAAAGTTACTAGGGTATTTTTAGAATAAATCTCTCAACATAATTGGGATGGAACCCCATAACACCAAGTCATATTTTCATTAAAACAACAACCATCCTCTACCTATGCAGATGTAAACATGGCGAGACAACTTTCTGAATCATTGACACATGGTTATAACTATTCATTAAATACAAACGCAAGTAACTGAACCGAAAACCAGCTCTGGGAGAGGAAAAATTGGAAAGAAACCCAGAAAGGGCCGAATTACATCACTATCACCCTGCTTCTCTGCTCTGAATTGTCCTCATCTATGGCTGTTTTTGCTTTTAAAAATGGATGTTGGGCCTTTGTTTCATGGCTGTAGCACGCAACTTTTAGAAAATGTATGGCCTGTGACAGGTACTTGTAGAATAGAAGGTACTTACTGAGTGTGTTCATGAGCTGATTGCTTCCCTGTGGCCTGCTGGTACCATTAGCAACCGAGTTCCTATTGCTGTATTGCTGAGAAGGGGAAGGGTGCGCAGCTTCATCCTTCCCACTGCTAGAGCTTTCATCATCACTCCCTGAAGAGCTTGCTGAATCTGAGGAGCTGCTGCCACTACTGCTACTCATCTGTTCAATAATTTCGACCTCAGCTCTTAGCTCTAGGACAAAAGGAGTCAGTTAACAGAGAATGCATGAACTTGCAGGACATGAATGTCTTCATTATACTAGGATTGTTTGCAGATTTGGGTAAATAAAGATACCATTGTATAATTTAACTGAAGGCTGTTTTTCATTGATTGGTCTCAAGTGTTAGAAAAATCCTTCAGTACAAAAAGTTGGGGTAGGGGATATATTCAGCCCATAATTGTAAGAGCCTGTGCCGAAAGGACTCCCTAACAGGACTGATATCTACATATCTGCTTACCGAGTTCTGTTACTGCCTCAAGTAATGTAAGTAGCTGCAATTACCATATACTGACTAACCATATCAGGAAATCTGAACATTACACAATGAAGTCTAAAACAGGATTACGCACTCTCCTCACTTTCTATTGTTTAAACAAAAGCAAGGTGGATTTTATTCTGCTCTGACCACTACAATGGCTTAAAAGGAAGGCTTGACTTTTAGAAAAAACAATTCTGCAGAAACGTTTATGAGACCTGAATTTGACAAAGACAAGGTGATCACACCTGCATATGCAGTATTTTTTTGCAATAGATAAAGGAACAAATAACAGACTTACGTACTGGATATCTGAGTTAAAAACATGCAAAAGAAAGTGTCAATTTCTGCAATGTATATAGTGATAAGATATCTGCAATATATACAGCAATTGATGATGATGGTAGTAGGGGTAATATATTCTCCTTACAATATTCCCTTTTAAAAGGCTACTGTTTCATGGAATATACATAATGACAAGTACTTCATTGACAATATTTGTACTCTGCCTTTCCATATTATAGTGTTACACCTTAACAACAGCTAAGCTGTGATCAACAGGCAACAGCTTTAAAACTCCTTCAAAACTTTATTTTTCTTAAAACACAGTACAAAAAAGGCTATTAACATTTATGCTGACTGTAACAGCTCACTATAACACAGGAAAACAAAGATGTTTGTATGTATTCATTATCAGCAATGTTTACTGGAGTCTTGAACAATTCATGAGCTGCTCGGGGGGATGCTCTTTCTTTGGTGGCTTTTTGTCTCCATGGCCGAGCTGCATATATGCATCTGTTCAGTCAGGCTAAAGGACACATCAGTGCAATCCTATACATATCTACCCAGAAGTGAGCTCCAATGAGACTTTTTCTTAGGTAATGAGTACTGGCTTTCAGCTTTTAATAAACTGTTGTCACTGATACCTTGGGCTAAATCTTGTTGGTGGTCTCACCTAGAGTAGACCTTTTGAATTAATATGATTTATTTAAGTGTTAACCTATCCCATTCATTCAGGGGTCTGCCCTAGTTGGAACTAACAATTGGACGTAATTCCTTGTATTCCAAAAAAATGAGTACAATATTTTTTTAAAAACATGGCTGCTAATATATTCTACCGTATTTGCCGGCGTACAAGACAACTGGGTGTATAAGATGACCCCCCAACATTTCCACTCAAAATATAGAATGGATGGCTCTGCTGCAGCAGTGCTGCCGACTGCCCGGGGCTATGCCCGGGCCCACCCTGGAAGTCCATGGCCGGCGATGAGGAGGGTGAGGAGGGGAAGCGGCTGGGTGGGCAGTGGCAGTGGAGGAGGAGGAGGGGAAAGGGAAGCAGCTCTCTGGCGGCACGCGGGCAAGCGGGCAGCTGGCTCAGCTGCGAGGAGGGCGAGAAAGAGGGGAAGTGGCCGGGCGGGCGGAGGAGGAGGAGGAAGAGGAGGAAGAGGGAAAGCGGCTATCCAGCGGCACACAGGCAAGCAGGCAGCTGGCTCAGTGGCGTAAAGCGGCGGGCTCTGGCCGCTCAGGCATGGCCGGCTCTGCTTCCCTCCCTCCGTCCGGACCTACCGCCTGCCTTCCTCCCCTGCCAGCGCGGCCTCGTGTCACTCACTCAATGGTGGCGGCAGCGGCTCCTTCCTGGCCCAATTGAAGTCCACCCAGCATATAAGATGACCCCCCCACTTGAAGGCATGTTTTTGGGGCCAAAAAAGTCATCTTATACGCCGGCAAATACGGCGATATAATATGCTTCCAAACCATGAGATTCACAGTTATTAAATAAGAGAGAGTTTACTACTGTTATCATTGTAATCCACAATCATTGTGCTATATATTCAGAAACATTAGCCACATTCAAAAGCATTTGAGAGGAAGTCAGACAGTTTAGAATTATCACGTGATTAAATTATTTCAAGAAAAGCTAGGGAAAAGGTCACTGAAGTACTACTAGAGCATCCTGCATTGCCATTATTGGGACTTCAAGGTTGCGACTAGAGATGGGGGGGATTCATATACGAATATCCCCCCACAGGTGGAAATAACAAGAGTCCAGCCCCATGAGGTCAGACTGTCTACTCATCATTCCGCCACTGATCCGAGCTCGACGGAGCTTTCCTATTGCGCCATTGTCTGCAATGAATTAGCCACCCCTGGCAGAGAGGCTTGTTATCCTGCCTCCTGCCAGTAGTGGCTAATCTATTGTGGACAATGGCATGATAGGAAGGCTTCGTCGAGCTGGCTTCGTTGAGCTTCGTCGTATACGAATACCCCCATCTCTAGTTACAACCTATGAAATGCAGGTTAACATCTGAAACAGTAGTTCCCAACCTTGGGGTAACCCAGGTGTTCTTAGACTGCAACTCCCAGAAGCATTCTTCACTAGCTGTGCTGGCCAGGATTTTTGGGAATTACAGTCCAAGAACACCTGAGTTAGCCAAGGCTGGGAACCACTTATCAAGGATCTTCTGCAGGAGGCAAATGCTAACAGATTATTAAGACCAGATCTAATGAGAATGCTGTCACAGTATTCATAGCAAAATTAATACAACTTAATACTTCTTTCTGAAGCAAGTTGCAAAGACTAAACTCCATGAAATTGAACATTTTCAATTAAGCATTTGAGCTCAACTATGTTTTGTGCTTTTATCCCGATTTCTGATTCTTTTTGTTGTTTGAATGCACTGTTTTAACAAATGCATGACACTGTTTACATTATATGCTTGTTTTATTTCATAACTTTTGTTAAGTGCCCCAGCATACTTTCTTGATGGGTGGGATTGTCAATAATTGAATACAAACACTGTTGATAAGTAAATACAGTTACAAAACAATCCATGTAAGGATATGATGGTTTCCATACCTCTCTTAATATCATCTAACTGAGGCTCTGGTGAAGGATTGTCTTTCGGTGGGGAGGTTTTGGGACCAACTGCTGGCTTTGTAGGTGCTCTGAACTGTGTGGAAGAAGGTTGTGAGGCTCGGGCAGACTGCTGTTCTATCCGGGCCTGGATCTTACTGCTGCCTTCAGCTCTGAAACAAAATATTTGGAAAAAGGAAATGATGCCTTCAGCTCCTCTCTTTTTTCCTTGCCCCCTTCCAATCTTTCTAAAGAATCTGTAAAATCCCAAATTAGCTGAAATCAAAAGCACATAAAAAAGAATACTGATACAGAAACCATGCAAGTTTAGCACTGATTTAATAAGAGAATAAAAAAAATGCTGAGGTATCCTAAGGAAATCAAAGGTCTTTAAAAATATAAAAACATTGCCTCAATTGTTAATTTCAAAAACCAATCCAGTCTGTGGGATAATTCATGTATGTAGAAACAGCACATCACACAGTCCTGTCTCCACTGTAACATTTAAGACAGGACGTGAAGTACAATGTATCTGAATGGCTTCTCATGTTTCAAAAGTTTTCTTACTTACGGGAAAAGGCAGTTATGTCAGAAAAAAGGGGTTTAGCTTATTTTTCTTTCTATGATGCTGATTGAGGAGAAAAAAAAGTCATTCCAGAATAGGCTGGAGGGGACCATATGGATAGGGGGACCATGGGGAAGGAAGCTAAATTCCTCTCTGTTCTACTCATGGCAGCCTTCTGTCAGTGGAGACAGCTGGATTTCACTGACAATCTACAATTTCCATCTTGGGACAATTGTGCCATGTGCCATTTTTCGATATATGAGGTGGCCCCACATATTTGAGTCATCTATTTTTACCTTGTCTTCTTTACTTGAATGCTGCTGCTTAGTTTTTCAAGCACATATTCCCCAGTATCATGATTGATAATAAGTACACAGTCCTTCTGATATGGCCTTTTGTTTCCTTTAAACACAGTCATTGGAGGAGTAGAACCCTGACATTCAAGAAAAGCACAAATTACATTTAAATCTAAATAAATGCATATGCTTATGCCAAGAAAAGCTTATTTAATGGAAATAATATATCTAATCCTTCATTTCCAAGCTAACTGTTTTATGCTTTGATAGGTTTCCTTTAATGACGTGACATAGCTTTAAAGGTCCAACCAGACAACATGCTCAGCTTGCAATCAGAAGTGTTATTTCCACAAATTGTGAAATATGTTTGTCTACCAGAGCATAAATGGCTCTCCCATACCTCTGTATCTTCTAGGTTTGTTTGGTGAATGATCATCAGAAGATACAGAAGTGGAGGAAAACCCTTATGCTTTGGTAGAAAAATATATTTTATCATTTACGGAAGTACCTTAATCTGATTGCCCAGACTGATATCTCTCAGGAAAGCATGTTATGACAACTTACTCCCAGGGAGTACACACTTCCCTTAATGTTGAGTTCCATCCATAAGCATGCAGAGTAGCATGCTGTCCGCAATGGATTAGCTAGTCCTGGCAGAAGGCGGGATGATGAGCCTCTCTGCCAGGTTGCAGAGTGGCTAATTCATTGCGGAATACGGAGTGATAGGAAGGCTCCGTCGAGCTCGCATCAGCGGAATCGTGAGTGTACAGTCCTGCCTCATAGGGCCAGACCCTCATTATCGACACCTGTGGGGGGATATTCGTATACGAATACCCCCATCTCCAATCAACTGGATCGTCACCAGTGGTGATTATTTACTATAAAAGGATCATCCCATCCTGAGGCTCCCAAAGGCTTTCTGAAAGCAAAAAAGGAGCCTTGGGGAGCCTCAGAACCTGAACGGAGGGGCTAGGAAGCTTTTAATTAATTTAAATTAAATGCCTCTGGTGCTCAGTCCAGATTATGGCATGCCAAGGTATGCCAACAGGATTTCGCCCATGGTGTATTGTTGACCCTTCAGAACAAGATACCAAACATGGAAAGCTGTTTAGTTCTCACTGATCTCCCTAGCATTTACAAATTGTTTTCAGTTCTTATAAAGCACACAGTGCTTACAATGTATTCAATGTTCAAAGCAAAAGTTATAAGCAGCATAATTCAAGATCTACATTTTGACACAACTGTAAACTTACTGGGATATGTGGCAATGTAATAGTGACTTCATCTCCTTTACCAACTTGAAGCTCCCCCTCACAAGATGTGTCTATAGATGCTGGTTTAAAATCATCTGGAAAGGACAAGAACTGACATTAAATATATATCTGGTTTTACAGTTTCATCAGTCTGAGTCACAGCCCTTCTTTTTTACTATAATTTGTTTAAAACATCTGTACACTGCTCTTCATCATGGCCTTCAGTTTATCAGTGTGGATGTCAAAATATGATTTGAAGGCTGGAGCTCAGAGGAAAAAGACATTTAATCAACATTAAAAAAACAGGTTGTCATGGTACAACGTACATTGCATCCCTGCCTCCTCCAATTTCAATGTACAGTAGCTTTCCAAGTAATAGTGTATGAGCAAAGTGTTAGAAACATCAGGAACACTGATATTTCTTAGTCCCATCTCTTGCACTTTTAATAGCTGTGTGATGTGTCAGGAAGTGACAATTACTTAATTTTGGCATGCCAAAAATGCTGCTAAAGTTACAAGGCTGAGGTTTTTTTAAAAGATGATAACCCAACCTCATGTATTTGGGCAGTCAAACATGTTCCATGTTTACGTCCAGTTGACTGTCTTGGTATTATTTTAGGACTGAGGGGGGCATCGGATGGCCTTCCACATGCTGCTGGACTGCAACCACCATAGGTCTGGCCTGCCTAACTAGTGATGAGGGATGATGGGAGCTGCTGTCCAACAGTGTCTGGGGGCTACAAGCTGCCTGCTCTTGTTTGAGGAGCATGAAAAAACAGATGCCGCCATGAGCCTACCTATGGAACAGTAGTATTGCTGTGCCTGTTCTATTTAACTCTGCCACACAGAGTTGCCAGCCTACATGATAGACCCGTTTCTTACTTTTATAGAAATTAATAGGCAATGGTTTTTGTTTTTAGTTTATCTTGTGGAATAAGCATCCTGATGTATACAACCTACTGTTAATACAGGAGTGAGGGCAAAGAACAGGCAACATTAACTGCTCATTCTGTCTTGCAAGCAGCTGTTAGAAACACATGACTTTTGTCAGGAAGAAGTGACTGGCACCCTACTGTACCTAAATAAAGGGAAGTCAAGTGTGAATATGATTCCAGTTAGATTTTTAATCTGGAGCTGAAAAAAGAAAATCCATCCGTCCAACTGAAATCTGTCCTGGGATAATACATAAGTTTTAATGGAAGGGACACCAGCTAATTTTAAGTGGACTCTGCTATCCCTTTTATTTATTTTATTTAAAATATTTATACAGTATTTTACAGGTGACTAATCTGCAGCAATGATCAAGTAAGCATGTTTAGTTTCATAACAAAAGAAATTTCAGCTGCTAACACTGTTTTTTTTAAAATTCCTCTCCAGCAAACTAGTTGGACTACTCCTTTGTAAACTGCTGATTTCTGCATCTCAGCATTGGGAGTCCGAAGTGAAAGAGCAAAGGAAAACTATCTCTGTCCCAGTCTCTTTATAAATTGCACTAGAGTTACCAAATTTTCAGCTGTCCTGCTCCTGTGTTCATAACAAAAGTCTGACCCACCCAGAAATTTATGAAAGGAAGCTTCCCCAGCTTCTGGATGTGAAACTACTGTTTAAAAGGACACAGCACCAGCCAGAGCAACAAAAAGGTAAAGTCTTGAATAAAGAGGGAAAAGCAAGGGTGGCTTTCGCCCTTCCAGAGTGTTTGATAGTACAGTCCTACGCATGTTTACTCAACAGTAAACCCTACTGAGTTCAGTGGAGCAAACTCGCACATAAGTGCACATGCAATTCTAACCGCACACGTACTCCCAGTCCCTTGGGATTAAGTCCCACTGAACTCCGTGGAACTGTTTTCGGAGTAAACATCCATCCATCCATCCATCGGCTCGCGCTGCCCGGGTCCAACGGAGGACACAAGCCCGGCTGGGCCTGGGCGGACCCGGGTCGGGGCCAAGTGGCTCCTCTGAGCCGGCCCTCGCCTCCTAAAGCGTCTCCCCTGCCGGTCACTCACAGCGGATGGTGTGGAAGGAGGTTTTGGGGTGCCGCTCGAAGCTCTCGCCCAGCTGCAAAGGGTGCTCCTCCTTGTCCAGCGCCGGGTTCGCCGCCCCGTTCATGACTCCGGCGGTGCCCGCCAACCGCCCCCGCCAACACACCGGCGGTGCCCGCGAACCTGCCCGGCTTTCACTCCCCGCCCCGCACACCTCCCCGCGGCCTCTGCTTCGCGAGCGGCCTCTTCCGGGCTCGGCGCGGCGGTGTCACACGGAAAGCCTTCCGTGCGGGACCCAGGAAGTAAGAGTTCGCTGGCAGGGCCGGCAGGAACGGAAATCCTCGCTAGCAGCGGCCCGCAGGAGGCCGCGGAACCAGCCGGAGAGCGTCCCTGAGAGGGAAAGAGGATCGGCCGGCGAGTGGCGAGGGCTGATCTCATCGGAGCGCTGAAGGGCGGCGGAACGGACGGTCACTGAACACGTCCAGAGTCCCTTACAGGGGCCTGGGAGTAGGTGGGTGACTCGTGGCTCTAAGGTGGTGGAACCACACACGTCTGAACCTCTCAAGATTAACCTGAGGTCTGTTTAGCCCAGTGTAGAGTTTTCGATCGGACACGTGACCGTTATCCGGGGGCTTCTGTAGACCAAAAACGGTGTTTTTTCCCCAGCTCGGAGCCTTAGAACGGGAGAAGCCTCGGGTTGAGCAGAATGAGACCTTCTGTATCCAAAACACGTGCACTGCTACAGCGCCAAGTAAAAGGCAGTCTCTTCAGGACACCCGCCACTATTTTATTTTCTCACAAGGGAGGAACCTGCCTGCCTGGATACTTCAGTGAGTTAGGTTTCTGGTTGCAGAGCCCGAGGTTGGGCGTTCAACTCCCCTCTGTGCCTCCTGCGAGTCAGCCTTGCTGCACAGTCCCAGGGGATCACCAAAAGATGGGAATGGGGAACCACTTCTGAGTTCTCTCTACCTAGAAAACCCTGCAAAGGGTCGCCATAGGTCAGAATTGACTTGATGGCACACAGTTATTGCTGTTAGGAACCCTTGGCCATCTGTTAGAGTGAGGCCACAGCATTAGGTGGCAAATGTTATGGGACAGCAGTAGCAACTTCCCAATTGCTCCTTCTGAGTATTCTTGCTGTTTCCCATATATGAATACAGCTCAGTATGCTATACATCCTATGCTGGAGCCCCTGAACTAGTCCCCTGCCTCAGGTGTGGTGGTATATCCCCCCTTAATAGTGATGCAGAAAAAGTCAACTGCTAGTCAGCTTTCTGTAAACAGCCTGGGGAGGGGTGCTGTTTAGTCTTTTGTCTCAGGCAGCAAGCTTTTTGGGCTGATCTTGCTGTCTTTTAACAAGACATGTCAAACTTCCTATTGTATAATATTGACTGACAGCGGCTTTCTAAGGATTGCAACAAGGGTCTTTTTGAACCAGCTACAAGGTTTGGGCCTTCTGTATATGAAAGGAAGGGCTGCACCACAAAGCTGTAACCCCTTCCAAGAAGACTATGAGATGATAGGGAGGGAGGGAGGGAGGAAGAGAACACAAAAGGTTGCTCAGAACAGAATAGTCTGTTTCCTGTGTCCTGTGTTAATAAACTTGGTGTGGGATTGGGTTTATTTTAGTTGGGAAAGAAAAACTGGTAATCAGCATTGGTGCTCTTGAAGTACTCCTCGAACATCTTACATACAATATCTCAAAAATATAGTAAGATTGCCTAACAAGCAGGTCAATGGGACATAGTAACAGCATACCTATATTCTGTTCAGGCTTGAATAGAATATAGGCATGTGAGTAAAAGGAACAGGCCTAGTTCCAGATTGCTTGCACGCACTGGTCCTAGAGTCCGAGACCATCTCATGTTGAATTAGGAAGCCAGTGTAGGGCCGCTTCTCACATTTATTTGAATTAAAGTACAAAGCTTTGCACAATACAGAGTCTCTTATATTTCACTTATATTAAAGTGAATATAAATAAAGCCCCATGCAGATTTATCTGCTGATGATGGTCAAGAATGTTGGGGGCAAGCATGTCCAGCATATATGTGCACTTTTACCTGTACACATATATCTTAGGGTGTATGTTGCACACAAGTGATAGAAAAACTGAGATGTGTCTGATATTGAGTTGTTTGAACTTCTTCCTACCCATCCAGTTTGGCATTTGGCTTGGGTGGCCAGGATTTATCACATCTATAAAGAGATGACAGCTTAGAGTGGAAGTGAGTAGAAAATGTTTAGATAAAATCTGTATGTCTCTGGAGCCTCATGGCACAGTGGTTAAACTGCTGCATTGCAGCCAAAACTCTGCTCACCACCTCGGTTCAATCCCAAGTAGCTGGCTCTCAAGGTTCACCCAGACTTCCGTCCTGAGGTCAGTAAATTGAGTACCCAGCTTATGGGGGGGCAGCAATGTGTAACCCGCATAATTAAATTATAAACTGCCCAGAGAATGCTTTAAGGTCTATAGGGTGGTATATAAACAGCACACTTTTTGCTCTGGTATTGATTTTCATTTAGCAGTATACAGTATTGTACCCCCATGTGGTGCCTTCTAGGTGTATTTGGATTATAACTCCCATGAACGGCATAATGGCTGGGATTTATATGACTTATAGTCCAAAATGTATGGAAGATATTGGATCAGGAAAGACTCCTAAATAGAGATGGCAACTAATGTGAGTCCAGCCCCGAGAACTGGCCAGTCCACTCATATGCCACCGCGCCGCCATCATCCTGCTCTTCCTGCCAATCACAGGAAGTAGCTCCTCCATCTTCCTGCTCAGCTGGCCACTCCAGGCAGGGAGAAGGATGACAAGTCTCCCCACACAACTGCTGAGTGGCCAGCAGAACAGGGAGATGGAGGACCTACTTCCATGATTGGTGGAAAGAGTAGAATGCTGGTGGCATGGGGTTGGACCTGCATTAGTTGCAGCTGGGACCAGGGTAATTCGTATTTGCAAATGAATACAAACATCTCCATCTCTACTGCTAAATAAAAACCTGTCTTGGGAAGGATGCATCACTATTAACATTTTTCAGTTCTTTTTGCCAGTGTGCTTCCCTCTCACCACTTTTGCCTGAAGATTTGTTTCAGGATACAGTATTTACTAAAGGTGACATAAGAAGAAAAGGATGCATTGCAAAGGCTGCTTTATTATTTAGTAGCACACCCACTGAAAGCTGCAGAATACTGACCTTTCTTTTATTGTCCTCTTGAATCCAGTGATCATCTGATAATGTGTGGCAAGCAATTATGGTCATTAAGGTATAAAGTAACTCTGAAACTTCAGTGTCCTTTGTAATGAAATGCATGAATCCAGATACCTGCAAAGTGACTCATCTGAGGCTCAGCTTGATATGATAATACCAAGTTGTGAAGATGGTGTGTTTCAAAAGAGAGGACAAAAGACCAGAATACTTACTCCTGAAGAAGCTGAAAAACTAGCTAGTGATCAGATCTTAGTATCAGACTTTAAGCAACAGAAACTTGAAAAAGAAGCACAAAAAAATTGGGATTTGTTTTACAAAAGGAACAGTACTAATTTTTTCAAGGACAGGCACTGGACAACAAGAGAATTTGAAGAATTAAAAGCCTGCCGCAAGGTGAGTATTATATGTTATATCAAGAAAGGGTAAGGTTGCTCCTGATTTAGGCTTTTAGTGTGCGTTCATGCCAGAGTTGGAAGTGATGTGTTATAGGTAATGCCTTACAGGTTGCTTAATGTAGTGGCTGATAAAATTATTTTATTGGGGTAACTTATATCATTTACTTCTTGTTCCTAAAATGTTACTTTAGGGGTGTTTACATTTGGGGTGACAGCAGCCATTTTTCAATTTTTTTGGAAAGATTTATAAAAAAAAATTAAATGAAGTTACTACTAAGAAATAATTGAATAACTCACCTCTAATAATGAGCATTGGTAATATGTTACTTTCCAAAAGCTATGAGCAGCACCTAACAAATTACTTTTAAAAAGTAGCACATTGAGCTCTAAATCCACCCATCGTTGTCTTCCATTTGTAAAGTTCCTACATCTTCCTATTTCATCTTCTGTCTTGTTTTTCACTTACTAAAAATCAGTTAAGGCAGAAGAGACAGATTTGCTGCTTAGTCCCTTTGATATTACTAGGTGGCGTCCATCTAGATACACATTCTCTCTAGCTCAATGGTTCCCAGCCTTGGGTCCCCAGATATTCTTGGACTAAAACTCCCAGAAACCTTCACCACTTGCTGTGCTGGCCAGGATTTCTGGGCATTGTAGTCCAAGAACATCTGGGGACCAAGGTTGAGAAGCACTGATCTAAATGGATAAACTGTAGAAATGTTTTGGCCAGCTGGCAGAGCATAGACAGTCTTTGTTCTATGCTGGGTTAGGTAACATTTTTGCATGAATTCAGTAGGCTTCAGGCAAAGGAGATGGACCTTACTTGTTCCATAATGCTGGTTTTGCAGTTTCTGTGGCAAGACATGAGGATACCCTTCTCTCATAAAGGGTTTTCACTTACTGTGGAAGGTGTATTTTATAATCCTTGCACAAATACTTCATTCAGGACCTGAGAAAGAACCAGTGTGGTCAATTATAGTAGGTGCTTCGTTTTTCTTCAACGTGGGATCCCCAAATGGGCTTGGATTCCCATTTATTGCATTGTGTGGCAGCTTGGGAAAGACTAGCGCATTTTACTGCAACAAAAGTATATAACAGTTTAAGAGAATCCTGATTCAAGACTGCATAAAAAACATTGTTTTTTGATAGTTGGAGGATAAGTGAGTATTACAATGATATTCTTATTAATAGGACAGCAATCATGTTTCTTAGCTTCAAGTTTAAGGCAATGAATAGTTTTGGGAGTACATGATTTTGAATCAGGTGTGGGCGGGATTTGGTAAGTGTTTATATGAGGATTGCAAGAAACCTCATGCACTCTACCCTGTGTTTACAAAACAAGAACAGAGAGTGAGAATAATCAATAAAAGATCATGGTGGATCAGGTGGAATTAGAGGCAAATTAGCAAAGTTATCTTGAAAATCCTTTTTTTCATAATCTGATCAATTCTGTTTTTTCCAGGAGTAAGTCTCATCCTGATCTACATATAGATGAACAGAGATTGGAAAAGTTCCTTTTTTATTGCAACTATCAGTAGGCATGTTGGCTAGGATACTCTGGAAAGTGTATCCCAAGAAGTAACTTTTCCTAACTCTGTGTATTAAAGAGTGGTCTGTGGTGTAAATCCTCTATTCAGTTTACACAAAGAAGTTTGCTGGATTATAATCTTCTGCATTGTATCATTATTTATGAACAGTGACGATCTGTTAACTGATAGCTGTGGTTCAGCATTCTTGAATAACAGAGCATTGGACTTGTAGGTAGTTTTGCCTGTCTTATCAAAAGAAAGTAACATCTATACCTTAATTGTAATTTCCTCCCATATGACATGTAAATCTAACCTGAATTGTTTGCCTGATGTTTTAATCTCTAGAAACAGTTTTTGGCATACCTGACAACCCTTCCTCTTCCTCATTTGCCTTGAAAGCAGATCTTTGCATCAAAGATTACAACAATTATGTGCATCATGTGGCATAAAATCACACTGGGTGTGTGTTTCTTTTTGCTGTGTTTATATGAATGATTGCTGGGATGGGGACACTGACATGTAATCTTGGACCTTGAGTCTGAAAATTCTTTGTGTTTCATAACTGACAGTTTATATTGCTTTGAAAGGATGTAACAAATGTGGTTGTTTTTCCACCATACAGTTTGCAGATCAGAAACTGACGATTTTGGAAGCAGGTTGTGGTGTCGGGAACTGTTTGTTTCCACTTTTAGAAGACGATGACAATATTTTTGCTTATGCCTGTGATTTTTCTCCACGAGCTGTGGAATACGTAAAGGTTGGTGTACTAAGCCATATTTAGGCATTTGCCTACAAAACAGATAAGCTTAAGTGGGTCTGGGGTATGTGTGAGCACTGATGTTCTGCCCTTATTCCCTTCTCCTTGCTGTTTTGTAGCTCTTCATATACTTAAGATGGTGCACAAGTGAGGAACTTCTTTCAGAACCTTATTCAGTTTCAGGGAAGTTTGAGGGGCATGTGCCAGTGATGGGGGCAAAAGCTAGGACCAATATTGCCAATATTTTTGACTTAATTTGCTTATTGCCAGTGAGTAGGCCTTAGGAGAGGCATTTTAATCTTCTAAAATGAAAAAAAAAGCTCTACAAAAATGGGGAAGCCAGCAAAGGAACAGAGGTTCAGTAGAGACTCCTTGCTGGAGTAAAGAGGTAGAGTAGAGATATTCACCAGTCCCATCCTCCTCCTACATTTGTTCAGGGCCATCTCACATATATATTGCGGAGGTATCCCTGCCATCTGAAGCAGATTTGTAGAGGCAAAGGGAGGAGGAGGAGGGTAGAGTTCATGAATTTAAGCACCACGCAACTCTATGCCCATCCTTATCAAGTAACAAAGACCTTTCTGAAAACATAATTTTAAAATCAATGAGGTGAGGTTTTCTACTAAATATGCATCCTAATTTTCAGATTAAGGCAACACATTGGACTGTTCTCTGTTTCTTACTTTTTTGATAGCATGTTCAAAGTATGTAATCCTAGAAATAAAATCAAACATTTGGTTGTAGATTTTTCAAAGGACAACATTTTCTCTTCATAGCAAAACCCTTTATATGATGCTCAGAGATGCAAAGTATTCCAGTGTGACCTTACTAGAGATGACCTTTTGGAAAATGTGCCACCAGAATCTGTAGATGTTGTAATGTTAATATTTGTCCTTTCTGCCATTCACCCTGAGAAGATGCACTTAGTTTTGCGCAACATTTATAAGGTATGTTAAGCATGTCTTAAGTAACAATAGAAATATGTTAATAGGAAAGATTTTTTAAAAAATTAAAAGTTGACATTGAGATGGAACTCTGAGAGCAGTATTCAGAGAGAGAAGAGCAGCTTTAATCCAAAAATAAAATATCACTGTGTTTGATTTTTGTAAAAGAAACATACTTCAAACAAGTAACACTCAGTGACACAAAATGTTTCATTTTTATTATATTGTAGCATGTTTGTTATACAAATCCAAATTACTTATGCATTGCATATTTGCATGCAGATATTAAAACCAGGCAAATGTGTGCTGTTCAGAGATTATGGTCTCTACGATCATGCAATGCTGAGGTTTAAGCCTGCTAACAAGCTTGGAGAAAACTTTTATGTAAGGCAAGATGGAACTAGATCGTTCTTTTTCACAGAGGGTGAGTCCACTCGCTCTTTTTTTGCAAATGCTTTGGTTTCTTGAACTATTGTCTGATTTGCTGTGTGGTTTTGTACTGAGTGTGAATCATAGGATTTAACAGTCATTCAGCATTTGTTCTATGCATGGTGCTTTGCTGTATTAATGGTTGGCTGTACCAGTAGTCAGAGTGAGGTTGTCATTTAAGGCAACAGATTTTAGATGCCATGAAATGACAGCACATTCTTAACTATTTTACTTTTTATGATTGTATTTTTACTGCAAGGGTGGGGGAAGGACATGGCATTTTCTTCATAAGAAATTTTCAGGTGTCAGAATACCTTGACTGGTCTAAGATAAGGAGGGAGGCATCATTTTCTGTTCTGCCTCAGTTAGTTGAATGACTTAGGATGACCCAGTCAAGCATCTAAGCATCTGGCAGGTATACTCACAATCATTTTTGCATTCTTCCCCCCCTTGCTAGTTGTTCTTAATTTATAGTTCATCAACTATAGCCCGGTATCATACCTTCTGTAGAATGAATTCTGTCCTGTTTTTCTATGTGTCTCAACTGTTATTGTTCCTGTAGACTTGGCCACTGATCAGATCTGAGGAAAGAACTTACCAAGAGAGGGTTCAGTTAGAAAAACTAGATCACATGCTTCTTTGCATTCCTGAGTGAATGGGAGGAGATTTCTCACATTAATTACTTTCATACTTTAAACCAGAAAGAATTTTTAAATGAATAAATAAATGTCCTTTAGGACCTGCTGGTTTGTTTGTTTGTTTTTAAAATTATTTACAGGCTGCCAACTGGAAAACAGTTTACATTTTCCATAAGCATCCATCTCTGGTATTAACATTCAAAGGCTTTTACAGGTTTCATCTGAGAACAGCAGCCTATCTATTTAGGATCTCTGTAATTTCATATTTCCACATCTATCTGAACTTAATGCTTTTTTTTGTCTTCTCTTCAGACTTCCTGGCAGAACTTTTCCTATCTGTTGGATATGAGCAAGTGGTCAATGAATATGTGCTGCGGGAAACTGTGAACAAGAAGGAAGGCCTGTGTGTGCCAAGGGTTTTTCTCCAAAGCAAATTTCAAAAGCCTCAAAGGGAAATGTGATTTTTTTCCAAAAAGTAACTGGTTTGATGAAGTCAGCAGCTGTGTTTTGGTATTACGCTATCTAAATCACATGGTCTCTTTTCTGGATGTTGAGGGGGCTATATGTAAATTCTCTCCCCTATCTTCCAGAATTTAAATCCTACATTTCTTTCTTACAACAATCTTACACTTCACATTTTATTCATTAGGTGGCACCATATAACAGCATTTTGTATTGTTCATTGAAAAGAGAAAAGTCCATGAAATGTTTGTGATTCTTCCTGAACAATTAAAATAGTCTCTTCTTTGAACTGTATCATCCAAAGAAAGATTAAACATTGGGAGTTAATTTCTAGAAAGTGAAGTGCATGTGAATCTATGGAAACGTGCCTTAGTTTGAGTCAATACATCTCTCCTTCAGTTTTGAAGAAGATATGTTAACCAATGAGAGAGATTAATATAGATGGTGTAATGGAAGCTTATTGGCAATAGTTGCTATATAGTTCTGCCAAATAGTCTGATTCTTGTGTGAATGGTTCTACAGGTCAAAACCTACCTTGAAATCAAACAAGACTGTGAGAAACCTTACCTTCGCCTGCTCCGCTTTTTTTCTGAGTGTTTTTTTTTTTAAATTGGTAAGGAGTATGCATTTGTGGTTCTATTTCCTGTGTTGCTTCAAGAAAAATTGCACAGAAAATGCATGTCTTTGAACTATAGATAGTAGTATCCCTTATCTAGTTTGGCCACTCCTGGCAGAGGGGTTTACAAAGCTATAGCCAAAAAAATTACCTCTTCAGGCTCCACCGAGAAGAACTGTGACTTGTGCTTTTTCTGTAGTCCTGGGTCAGTTCATACTGGAAAGCTTGAGCAGTGATTAGTTGAATGTAGAGACATTGGAGGACATGGGGAGAAGCACTGAAAAATATAAGCATCCATCATAGTTTGGAAGAGCAAGTCGCCAACCCTCTTTTGAGCCTCTAGCAGAGCCACCTCCACATTCATTCTTCCTGGTCCATGAAAGAACTCCCTGGGCTTGGAAAAGAATCACAATTACATGTACACAATTATATGCTTCTTAGCAATTAGCATGATCCATAGCTCTCAGTAGGTTTGCTGGAAGTTTTTTGTTAGTTTATTTGTTGGAATGGGAGCAGGTAATGTATGGCCCTAGGTGCATATGTAGTCTTTATTGTAGCTTTAGAATCTCACTGCAAGCAATCAGATTTCTGAATAGATGATCTGCTCTTTTCTCTCTGCCCACTGATACCTTTGCCTCCTTCCCAAAGGAGTGCTTGACACTGGAACGGTTCCCCATCCTGACCTCAGAGCTGCTCCTAGAAGTGGGGGAGCTCAGTCTGGATCAGAACCACAATGTTCTGGAAGAGGAACGCCATATATAACCCATATTTAATTTTCCCTAATAAAATTTAGAGGCTGATAAAAAAGGAACAGAAATATAATATAATAAATCAGAGAAAAAGAAGCAGCCCAGTCTAGTTCACCCTTGCCTAAGCTGTATTTAGGACAAAGAAAGCATTGGAAGAAATGCTAGTCACTTTTTAATTCAGCTTGAATTTTTGTCTTTGAAAGGTTAGTATCTCTACAAGTTAAAGAGATATTACTGTTTGAGGTGAGATTGTCCAGATGGTGACTTTTGCTATAGGTGCATTTGTGCTGTAACACTAGATTGGAATTGTGGAATGCATGAGTGGCATGTATGAGTGAGGATGCTGCATGTCAACATTTTAGGGGGCACCCCCCCCCCGCTCTGATCACAAGCAATCTGTCATGAGATGTCTCATAAGAAGAGCAGGGCTGGATCAGAACAAAAGTCTGTTTGGCATTCTGTTTGTATAATGGCCAATACAGGAAGAGCATTGATTAAAGAAAGCTGTGATAGAGTCGCTGTTTTAGATTCTCCAGCTAGTGCTGTTCATGCTAATATCTAAGGTGCTGTGTGCATGAATCAGTCTGGGAAACAGTGACAGCTCCATATTTTCCCATAGTATTAAATATGCTGATTTCACTGTTCAAAAAAGAAACGTGGATTTTCAGTTTGGAAGATCTTTGCAAGGATGGGAAGTTGAATACAAAGCAGGGCAGGTTTGGGATTCAGGACAGTGTATCAACACAACCACATTTGTTTTCAAGTTCTCTGAAGTATGGTTCAACAAAAAAGAACTTGTTGAAGCTCTGCTGGTGTTTGTGGATTTCAGTGGCTTTCCTGTTCATACGAACATAATGATTGCTGAAGTTGTCCAGTACTTCAGTATTTTGAAATAGAATTTCATGTCCAGCTTGTTTTAGGGCATGTTCAGCTACTGCCGATTTTTCCGGTTGTTTTAGTGTGCAGTGTCTCTCATGTTCTTTGATTCTGGTGTGGATCCGGTATACTTCTGCAGTGGTGGTATACCGTATTTTTCGCTCCATAAGACGCACCTTTCCATAAGACGCACCAATTTTTTAGGAGAAGAAAACAGGAAAATATAATCTCTTTTCTTCGCTCCAAGAGACGCACAGACTTTCCACCCCCCCTGTTTTGTAGGAAAAAAGTGCATCTTATGGTGCGAAAAATACGGTACTTCTGCAGTGGTGAGAAAGATTAAAACTCAACAAAGCCTGGCTCCCAGCATGGAAAAAGACAGCCTGCAAAAGGTCAACGAAATCTGCCCAGCTACAAGGACCACTGCACACAAAAGACCAGCTAATGACACCCATCAATCACAGTGACAGATAATCTCTCCCTCTTATCACAACAATACACCCACAACAAAAAGTATGTTGATCACCACAATCACCCATCTCCTGAAACGGACAAAAGCTGATCCCACAGCTATAAATAATCAACTATCCAAACAAACTGCACCAGAGCACAGACAGAGTTCTGACTCCTGTCCTCTGAAGATGCCGGCCACAGAGATTGGCGAAACGTTAGGAAGAACAACCTTCAGAATACGGCCAAAAGAGCCCAAAAAACCCACAACAACCATCAGATCCCAGCTGTGAAAGCCCTTGAGAATTCACTGAAGTATATTTAATGGAAAACAAACACATCTCCTGTTGCAGATATGCTGGAAGACAGAACATGGCTTTTTAAAAGGGGAATGAGTTTTTATACATAATCTTTTAATAAGCACAAGTATATTTAACTTCATTTGCAGCGTTCTGGCATCTCAACATGGAGGACAGAGAGGCAGGGTGTTAATAGGAAAGGATTGAGTGTCACAGCAGAATGTTGTTGTGAATATCGGGCCACCTTTTCCAATGAGCAATGCAAGAATATTGAGCAACTGATATAATATTTACAGGAATATTCACAGTATGTGGGTGTTTATGTACAAGTGCTGGCTGGATAGCTTAGTGAGAAGTAATAACTGGCTGTGAAGCCAGGGATCAGGAGTTCAATTCCTTCATGCTTCCCAGGAGGAGAGCCAGCTTGTGTAGCCTGGGCAAAGTAAACGGTCCCAAAATGCCTGCAGAAGAAGGTAATAGTAAACCACCTCTGAGTAACTTATATCTAGATAACTCCTGAGAATTGACTTGATGGCACACGAGCAGCCTCTGTGAGGGATCTGAAAGTGAGCTGCAACATAATCAGAGCTTTAAACAATTACTTTTCAGGACTCCAACTCTTAGAACTGGATAAGGTGTTGTAGCGCCCCCCCCCCCAGGGACTTGTTTCAAGCTCCAAACGTAATGTATATCTTCTGATTCTACTGAGAATGCTACTGTTAGACTCCATACAGCTGGCTAATCTAGCTGTTTTTCTAAGCTATCAATTGCCCGCTCTTCCATCCAATGTAACCCTAGGCTTGGCTCTCAACATTTCTATTCTGAACTGTGATTTTAATTACAGAGTGACTGGAAAAATAACATGGCAACTGATGTTAGAAAGGGGAAAATCCAGAAAGAAAGGGTAATTGCATGCCAACTCCCATTTCTGCTGTTAAATTATCTTTTCATAAGACCATAATGACTGCATCTCAGCAGTCAGAAAAGCCTGGATTAAAGTGATGATATTTATTTCTCTAAGGATTGGGTTACCCTTATTATATTCTATTTTCACCTTTAGAAACAAAACACTTACACTATGCTTGCACTTTGTTTCTTGGCCCTTAGCCAACACATTGTAAAGCTTTAGGGCCATCCCTTTGGGAACTGGTGACTCCAACCATTCTCTTACCCCTCATGCAGAGGAAATAGGTATTTTCTGCTAAAAGAGGATTACATATTATAGTTCTCCTTGAAAATATCTACCTGGCAGGACATTCTCTTTTACCACTGGTTTCTTCATTGAAAATAAATGTGTTTTGTTTTTGGTTTTCTTTTGTTTTGTTTTTGTGCCACTTACTATCAGGGCTCATTTTTAAATAGGGGCAAGTTGATAAAAAAACCTTCCTTCAGATCCACAGAGTTATTAAGTGAAAAAACTGCCCTTTGTGCAGGCTCAGATGCTGTTTGCATTTCACATACTGCAGAATCCTGCATTGCTGTTTTATTATGAGGCTGAGCCCTATAAATTGTCTGTCATATTAGCTTTTTACAATAGCCTCCCATCTTATTTCTTTCCCAGAGAAAAGGGGTGTGGGATTACCAAACCTGTCTGGAAAGATTGTAGTATGGTAATCGAATATGAAATGCTTTTCTTACATACTTAGGGGTTTGTTTTTGGGTTTGTTTGTTTTTTTGCTCCTGCTGACTAAAATCCAAAATCCATTACAATTTTAGACAGCCTAATGACACAAGATCTGGCTGGATAACTCATTAAGAAGGAGTCCCTGGCTGCAGGGCTTGGGCTTGATTCCCCAAATTGCTCCTGGGAGAAGAGCCAAGCTGTGTGTAGTGTGGTTGGTTCTGAATTTCTTAGAAGCCTTTGATACTATTGACCACGGTGTCCTCCTGGACCAATTGTTGGGTTGGGGATCAGAGGTAAAGCACAATGCTGGCTTCAACCCTTCCTTGATGACTGGAATCAGATGAAGGCTGTTTTGTCACTGTGGGTACTGTAACGTGGTGTCCCACAGGGGTTGATAATCTCCTCATTGCTGTTTAACTTCTGTACGAGGCCTCTGGGCAAGGTCATCTGGAGATTGGGATGATGACATGCTGCTCTTATCCCGCCTCATCCTCAGCAGCAGAAGTTATGCGAGACACTAGAGCACTGCTTGGCCATGATGCTAGAGCGCTGCACGACGACAGCTGATAGACTGAAACTGAATCCTGACAAGATGGAAATTCTGTTGTTGGAAGGGAACCCTGATCAATTAGGAGGCTGTTTACCTGGTTTATATGGGGTCTTACTCCCTTGAAGGATCA